AAGCCCATTAGCAAAAGTCTCACAAAAAACCATAACCTGAAGCCTTGTTAAGCCAGTTCAAATACAAAAAACACAAAAACTAAAACTGAAACATAACCCTTCAACCGTACTGTAAAACAAAACCAGCATAGGCCATAACCTCATACCTGTCCAGAATCTCACCAGTTATCAAATACATCATCCAAACCAAAAATGCAAGAACATACTGTCAACACATAACCTTGAACTGAATAACCAAGACTGTGTTACACCCAAGCTTCAAAACCTGAACCACCATAACCTGCAAACTAAGTTACCAAGCCAAGCTAACATAAAAACCAGATAAAACCATCACCCTGTTCAATCACCAAAACCATCACCCTGTTCAATCACCAAAACCATCACCCTATTCAATCACCAAAACCATAACCAGAATCACCATGCCCATTGCCTAATCTCAAGCTTGACCATTACCAAAGCACCATACAGTCAACAAACTCACAAGCATAAAAGTTCAAGGCAATACAGGTGAGGCAACCCACGAGCCCTCAGTACAAGCATCACTGGGCATCTCAAGCAAAGGCAACGCGAGAAAAGAAAAGAAAGTTCATCAAGGCAACAATTCGAAGTATCATAGGCAAAGGCAACCTAGGCCCTCAGACCTTTGAGGTCATCACAGGGCAATACAAGCAAGTATACAGTGTTCAAGAGAAGAAAAAGAGGCGAACTCAGTAAACATACATCACGAGCAAACACATCCCAAGGCCACCAACAGTTCAAAGGGACGAAAATAGAAGAGATAAAGATACCAGGAAAACATCAGAAGCGTAGCAAGCGTCACCGAATCGCCGTTCCGGCCTCCTAAAGCGTCTCCACTTCGCCTCTCCTCCATCCCCAAAGTCAGGTAGCCAATATTCTTCCCCTTTCCCCTTCACTATCTCATAATAATGCGAATTCGGGAATCAGGACTCACACTAAAACACAAATTCGTAAAGAACAGAGACAAAAACATAAACACTAAAACGAACCTTAAATCGATGACGCTGGGCTCACGTCAATGGAGGGAAGAAAGGCTTCAGGAGTAGCGCTGGTGGCCGGAGGAAGCATTCAGGGAAGTGAAGATGATCGGAGAAGATGAACTTATGAACGGCGCCGCTGCTAACCCTACGTTTTCGCCTCATTTGGATACAAAATCCCTAACCCTAAATCGCTTGTTTGAACCAAGGGCCTGACCCGTTCTCATTTCCTCCAAAGCCCAACATTATCACTAATCTTTCTTTTTTCTCTTTTACTAACCTATTCTTTTTTTTATATTAACACTAACCTTTTTATATTTTATATGAACATTTTATTTGCTTTATAAAATCATTCTAATGCAAAATACCTTTTTTACATTCTTCAATATTTACAATTTAGTTAAAACATTATATATATATATATACTTAATTTAATTAACTTGAAAATATTTTCATTAATACTAACCTATTCTTTTTCTTTTTATAAATCATATACTTTTTTTAACAAAATATTAACAACTAACCTTTATATAAACACCTTATATTTTTTAATTTAATACATTTACACTTAACACATTGAAATACATTTGTACATATTATTTATCATATAGTTAAAATATTTCTTTTAAATATATTCGTATATGAAATGACAAAATACTTTTTTATCATATAATTAAAATTGAAAATATTTTTTAGTTAACATACATATTTTGTACATAATAATTTAAATACATTTTTCTAATATCAAATTCACAACATTTAATCAAAATACTTTTTGCAAATAAAGAAACATTCTTAATTAAAACTTGAGCATTTTTTGTACATATCTAAATACAAATCAAAGATTCATTAAAATACCTATCTGGGTCAAAAACCCTAATACGTTTCAATTCCACAACTCGCGCCTGTACATAATTACACAACTCATATACATCTCACATTTACACTTACACAATACATTGCCCTATACACATTTTTATCTTATATTTGTATATTCGATATTTACATTTGATCGCACATTCGATTTGGTTGTAACTTATTGGATACTATAAGTCTCACCCCCTTGTACATTTATACCCCCACTCCCGGACACTATTTTGTAATAGCGTAGATTTACATTCCGCAATTTACAGTTTTCCAATTATACCATGGTTAGACCTAGAGTTTGTATGTACATAAAATCAAACGCTAGATAACCTAATACAAGACAAATACATGTAATCAATACACAATCACACTTGCACCCCTAGGGTAATCCCGCATGTTGCCTTCCAAAATGGGCCATGCTTGCACGTCGAGTATCTTTGGCAAAACAAATTCAAAATGATCATAAGTCCCTCAAAATGTTGCCTAAAATGGAATGATCATAGTCCCTTCAAAGTAAATTGCCAAAGACACTTGGCATCATTGCATTCATGGTCCATACGATGACCCGCGCCCGTCCTGAACAAACTTCCTAAAACGCAAGATTGTCCACCAAATTCAATGGTGGAACAAAATTGTTAAAAGGGGTTAAAACATAACAAAAACCTTTGAGTACAATAGGGTAGACAAAAATCTTAGTTACTTGAGATCAACTTGCAAAAACACTTGCCTTCTTTTCAAAAACCACAATCCACGACACTTTCAAACAAACTCTCAAAAACATTTGAAACATCTTTTCGAAAAGATCCACACTTTTGTAAAACACTCAAACACGAGTCAAATACATTGGTCGCCTAAGACAAGGCATCTCTTCAAAAACATTTTTCAAAACACACACACCATTTTCAAGCAATCAAAAATCAAGGCAAGTGATCTAAAAACCAAGTAACTAAGAGCCCATGGATAACCATGGATGAAAAGGGTGCTAATACCTTCCCTTTTCATAATCTACCCCCCGGACCCACGAAATATCTCAAAAGGTTTTTGCTGTGCTTTTTTTAACCTTTCCTTTAGGATAAAATAAAAAGTCGGTGGCGACTCTTGCTCAACCGCACAAGTGCGAATACGAACGCAAAACACTAGTCAGTTCTCCCACCGTATCACAATGTAAAAAAATAGAAGAATGTTGTTTTGAAGTACAAAACTTGATTGAGAATTGATGAAGATTTTTGTATGTTTTTGCAAGTATGATTATATGATCATAAAAGTAAGAATATATGCAAGATGGTGTTATGTTCAATTTTCAATTTGGTGTTTCGGATTTCAATATCCGAACTGTATTCAGAGTTTGAACTCCAAATATATTTTTGACAAAATAAGAATGACTCGTTGATGATCTCATTTAGTGTGTAATATATTTTAGGGTTTCATATAAAGGTTAAGATTCAACGCTAAGAGTTTGAACCCCAAGATTATTACCATTAAAAAAATGTTTACCGTATTTCTCACTAGCACTTACGGATAGCATTGAAGTCTCCAATAAAACAAAAACAAAACAAAAAAACCTGAAAGCTTTGTTGAAAACATTCAATTTCATTCAAAGTTTTCTTCAAATTCATTTTTAGTAAGGACTTCCTGAAAGTCAACATTTTTTTTAATTGATCATCGATGTTATTAAGTTTTGCCAATAATTTGCTCAACAGTTCCAAATTAACATTAATAGGAATGGAAAATGAGGCTTTATCATCAACAAGCTCCTTGTCCTTTTGCCCAACATAGGGGTGTGCATGGATCAATAACCAAACCAAATTGAACCATATATATGGTTTGATTTGGATCTTAAAACTACTTCATTAAAACCGATTTATATTTTTAAAACCGGTTTACAAGTGGATCGGTTCGGTTTTGAACCAGTTTCTCACAAAAATCAATTTTTAAAAAAAAAAATTTTAAACCGGTTTTAGTATATCATATATATTATTATTTCACTTGCACTTTTCATGCACGGTATAGAACATGCACAAGTTCCATCAATAAAACCAGAATGACGTTGCTGCACATAAATATTTTAATAAAATGATCCATATTTTAAATGATGAAACTCAAACAAACTAATCAATAATTATGAAGACCGAAAAGAAACTAAACCAGTACAAATATAATGCATGTAAAAGAACACTGCAAACCACCAAGAACCCACGACAAAACTGAGATAATAGGAACGCAGTAAAAACAATATAATAACATGATTGAAAAACTTATTTTATGGTCATTTATTTGAAATGAATTAAACAGTGTTTCAAAATATACGAAGCTTATTTTTTTAGAAAGCATAAAATTTAATGAGAATGATATTTGGATACCCAATAACCAAATTTATGGGTTCCAGTTTACCATTTTTATTATAAATGGGTCACCAAATCCAGATTTTAGTATTTGGGTTGGGTTTTAAAAATTGAAACAATTTAGATATCAATTTGGTTATGGATAACCGGTTTTTTTGCACACCCCTAGCCCAACATGTTTGGTTCATCATATCAAGATTTTCCTTCCATTGTGCGTGACTTCTTTATGAATCTCTTCATATGAATAATGATGGTATAGTAAATAATGATCCACCTTCACGTGAATAATGGTCATACAGTAAATGAAAGCAATTATATTCAATTTCACATTCAATCAGACATAATTTCTGCACAAAACATAACATGAACACAATCTGAACTCACTCAACATTGAACTGTAAATTATCATAGAATACTAACTAAATGCTTTCTATGAAGTTTAAAACTTTAATTTCTTCACATGAATAACAATTCACATGGAAGTTGAATATTACACAACAACAAAAAATAGATAAACAACAGTGATACACATGATACAATATAACAAAGAATATAAAATCTATAAGAAAATTTTCTGTATAACTTAACAAAATCAGAATTATTGAGTTACTAGTTTCTTCATTTGATAAAACTTTGAACTTGACTGATTCTTGGCCTGTATATATTATATAATAGAATCAATCAATCTTTTCTGTTAAGACTGACTCCGAATTCGTTTCCCTTTGTTTCTCTACTTCTGGAATTACGATTTCGAGATAGTCATTCCTTCTCGCCCCTTCACAGGTTCATGAGTTTGTCACCTTGATCCTGAGTTGGATGGCTGCCACAGCTTTTTCTGGCATATCACCAACTTCTCTTTCTCAACATCATACTCAGTGTTTTCTTTGTGACATATCCATCTCATACCCTTTGCAAGAGTTGCAACCGCGTCAGCAAAGTAACTAGCCTCTCGGATTATGACGTGGCCGCCGGGCCGTAAAATTCGGTCCATTTCCAACATCATATACTTCATTTCACATCTGCATAAGTAATAACCAATTGTTAGGATAAACAACTTAATTAAACGCTTATGAATAAGTTTTGTTTCTATGTGATAAATTGTGTTTTATGAAAACAACTTATAAATGCTTATTCAAGAAGTGATTAGTTCACCTGTGACTTTCTGCAGTGAAGAGTCCTTCAGCATGAAGTAGGTCATAGGTTCTAGGATATGTTGAAAAAGCTTCACACCTAATAGTACAAAGCATGAAAAATTCTAATCATTACAAGAAATTCATATGATATATGATCAAAAGTCTAAAAAAAAAGACAGAAATTTATGCAAGTTCATATTTAAAGTTTTAAATATACCAGTCATGGAGGGTACCGATAAGACCGCGATCAAAAACTATGGGGAGTGTATTAGGACCATAAGATGAAACAACATTCATAACCCACAAAGGATCATTAATCAAAGCAGCAGCAAAACCTCCATAAGCTGTATTCATATCCATCACATTTCTGATCTTTTCTGTTCCAAGATCAGGCAACAGCATCTTGTAATGTGGAATTCGCTTTTTCCATTTACTGTTATCATGATTGAAAGAACTAGCGCTAGAACCTTGAACAACTGAAAGCCTTTCGGGTACAACATTCAACCTTTGAGGCCATTTCGACATGTAGGTGAGGCCTGCGTTCTTGTACTTATCTTCTGGAACAACGAAGCAAGTGCGAAGCGGAGTGTACCATGCTGAATCTGGTTCGAAACTGTCATCACATTTTGGAGGGTAGGTTTCTCTAGGGAGCTTGTCGTAGCAACTGTTATCCGGGGCCTTTTGCCATACAGCAATGTCGTCCTTTTTGTTGTATAATTTGAAGCACATTGATGTGAGCAAATCTTGTAGCTTCTCGTAGTCTGATCTTTGCTCTTCCACTGTTGTATTCCATCCGCGCCACCTTCGCTCGTAGTTAACTGGTGGGCCAGAGAGAACCCAGAATCCTCCCGGACGAAGGATTCGGTGAATTTCAAAAAGATAAATTCCACCTAAAAACGACATATATGAATATCCCCATCAGTTAATGAATAGAAATTTCGACAAAACTAATATCAGCATCAAACAAGAATGTTTATGAAAATAACTTATAACTCAGACGAAACCGTTTTATTATATGCCGGTAAAGTTCAACAAAACATTGCATAAATAAGAATGTTGAAGAATTACCGAATTCCGTCCATGGGATAAGGCATCTAGAGCAATGGGCCATATCAAATGAGTTTGAAGAGAAAGGAAGTCTTTGAGTAGAGATGACACCAAGAATTGCCGGGATACCACGCTCTAGAGCAAATTGAACCTGAGCTTCATGATTATCTCTCGGCGCAAGAGAAATTGTTAGAACACCGCGATCCAACAAGTCACCACCCCAGCTAGCAACCTAGCACAAATCAGAGTTATGTGTGGACTAATTGACTTAAATGAAAGTTATTGAATATATAACTACATAGACACTAGACACGCCTTCAATCTGAAGTGTGAGACACCTGACACCAGACCCGTCTTCAATCTAAAATATCAGACACCATACTTCAATCTCAAGGGTCTGTGCTACGTAGTGTAATAAATGTTTAAAAAGAAAGATAAAACTCACCCCACAACCAGTATCAATTGCAGTTCTAACAGACCCATCTTTAATTCCAGGGATCAGATCTTGCATTAAATCAACATATTCACCAACACCATTAGGGAACATAGTACCTCCACCAGGAAAGAGAAATTTATCCCCTTCCTTTTTCAACCAATGCTGATTAGACTTTTGCTTGTTAATCCAATCATATGGCACATTCCTGTCATTTATTCATATAACACAAATTGCAACAAAAAAATATATAACATATATATAAACAACTATACCTTAAAATCAATCCAAACTTTAAACAATTTCAACTCATAAATCACATAGTATTACATACCTGTACCAACATTGATCTCTACTCTTAGGCCATCTGATTGGAGGCTTGTAACCAGCTGGAGGAGGAACTAAGCATTCTTTCCTCTCGAAAATCGGAGGGCAATGTCGCTCCAACAAAGTAAGCCTATAGGTACCATACTTTCTCCATCTCTACAAAAACCATTCATGCTCAAAACTCAATCAACACAACAACGAAATTCGAAGAGGTTTCTATCAGTATCAAATATGAAAATACCTTTGGATCTGTGCAAGGAGTGTAGTCTTGATAATCATTGCCGCATTCGGGGAAATTGACTGGCTTAATTTGCAAAGTACCAGATGATTGAGAAGAAGAATCAAGTGATTTCTGAATGGCACTGATAACACCAACACCATCACCGTCTGCAGATTTAAAAATCCCACCTAAATAGAAGGACAAACCACATAGGACAATGACAGTGATCGCCGCAGACAGAGACCGATTCTTGTTCGGCTGGTTGATCGGTTTTCCATCTTTATGCTTCATGATATTGCACTAACTATCTGCAGAAAAAGAACACCGAACTTCAGATCAGACCAGACCAGACCAGTGTCAAAAGTACAACAACAAAGAACACACATAACAATATTGTTACAAACATGAAATATTAAATAATAGTAACAAAAACGAAAGAGAAAAATATATCAATGATTAATTAAATTAAACACCGACCATTACTACCGACATAATCAGAATTCAAGAATTCATGAATTCAAAAACCAGCTACTTTTGACATGTTATCGATGTAACATTGCTTTAATGATGTTCACATGACATTGGGCCCCAGTTACATGCTCCCATCACTGACTCAAAATAATGAAAAAAAGCATACCGAAAGGCTGGATCTCACAATATGTTTGTACAATATTCTTATACATAAAAAGGAATGGAGTAATTATCAAGATTTCTTGACACGTACGAAAAGTTTTGTTTCCTGATCTACTGTGTTACGTTCAGAATTATAAAGTATAGCGACAAATGAATACTAGCAGAAATGAACAAACAAAAATGAAGGAAACAGATCTGGAAAAGAATGAGGAGAAGAAGATACGTACTGTTGTGTATGTTGAATGTGGATAAAGGAGGTGAATGAATGGAGAAGAAAGAGGAAGAAGAAGAACGAGGAAGTGAAAGGTGAAGGTTGAAATTGAAGGGAAAAAAAGTGAGATTTGTGTGTGAGGTTGTAGAAGGATTTATATAACTATTTTTGGTCGCCATGTGCCTCGCTGTCCTGTCTTTTTGTTCAATCTTCAATTTCCTTCCACTTTCGTTTTTTTTTTTCTGTCTCCCTTCATTTTTACCTTATCTTTAATTATAAACATAAGGAAACTTCAAAATTACCTAAAAGGATATAGTAATTTTTTTATTTTTGATTTTTGATTTATTGTTTTTTAAATATATTACAAAAGGTAAAAATAAATTATTATTTTATATGAAAAATTGAACTGAGTTGAATTTCGAAGAATTATCCTAATCAAATATATTCTAATTCATTACTAAAAATATCTTTATTATTTACCATAAAATTAATTCATCAAAACAAGTGAAATTTATTTTAAAAATTTCTTTCTTAGCAAATAATTTGCATAATAATAATTCAAATAAATTTGTGTGATTTTTTAATTGGTCTCGGATTGAGAAATAGCGAAGCAGATTTTCTACAATGATATCTTCAATTTAAAAATGTAATTGAATTGAAATTTTAATTTATTATATATTAATATTTTCTTAGTTGTTTGTGAGGTCTGAAAATATTTTTTATTTTTATTTAAATTTGTTAATGTCTGATTAATTAACTTAGAAATATAATTTATAAGATATTTATATTATTCGAGATAGTTATAACTAACTCAACAAACTTGAATTTATTTATAATACAACTCATAATTCTTTAAAGTAGGTGTGACATATTCGTGCTCCTGAAAAAGTGAAGTTCTTTCTTTGGACAATTTTACATAAGTCTTTTCCTACAAGCTCAATGTTGTGTCGTCCTTGTATGTTTTAGACGATTCTATGTCCTAGATGCAATTAGGACACTGAAATAACTCTACACTGTCTAAAAGACTGTGAATTTGCTACTCACTATTTAAAATCTATTTATTTCTTGGACCCATTATTTTACCAAGAGTATAGTTTATATGGTTGTATTAGACATGACATCGATGATGGCTCTATGTTTTAGGCTGCTTGTTAGTGGTTGTGGCACGTAGGTATAAAATGTGTTTTGTGAATGAAGTGGTAATCAGTTAGCTCAATGTTTTCTCAAGCATAATTTGTCTCATCCAATGAGAACGATCACGTGAAATACACACAAAAGTAGTAATGTAATTTTGAATGTTGGTGGCAGTAACCTCAATAATCTCAATGTGTCGGGTTTTGTTTGATTTGACATGTTATTGGTGCTTGAGTTCACGGTTTTACAAGTAATATTTATTATTCCATCCTTCATGTTTCGTTGATGTCATTATATCATGATTTAGATATTGGTTTGAGAACTTGACATCAAAGACTTAATATATTATTCTGACTCAACTCTAGTATCAAGCTTGTCTCATAGTGGTTAATGTTTGACATTACTATGTCACAATTCTTTACAACATTAAAAAGCTTCTCTATAGCGAATGACGAATTTATATATTTCAAACTCTTAGAAAAGAGAATGTTTGTGTTGATTATTTAGTAAAATATGAAACTAATAATGATATGTCATACCGATCTTTTTATAACTTCATGTTAAAATCATCACTCTTTTATTAGTACATGCTAGTGAAATTTTATTTTCTAAATAACTTTTCTTTTTGTTTTCTTTTGTTATGTAAAAAAAAATGGTATTTTTAGTCATAATTTGCTAATATCCAAATGTGTGCTCATCGTTATGATTTGGAATTAACAAAGCTCTTAAATTTTAAAATAAATATTTATTTTGATTATTGAGAAAAAATAATAGGATTTAATTTAGTTTCTCAAAAAATAATCAAAAATTTAGTTTCTATCATATTTACAACTTAGATCGAAACTGGTTGATTAAACTTTAAAAAAAAAATTCTTTAAAAAAATATTATTAGATAATGTATCAATTAAATGATATATATACTAAATTTTAATATATATATATATATATATATATATATATATATATATATATATATATATATATATATATATATATATATATATATATATATATATATATATATATATATATATTGTTGTGAATTCAATGCCAATAACAAAGTATAGAATAAAGGGAGGAATAACGAACAAGGTAGAAGAAGAACACAAGAATTGGTTATAACTGCTATTCTTTACTTTCTCTTAGAAAACAAGATTACAAGTTTACAAGAATAACAAATAACCCTCTCACCCTAAATTAGGATTTGCTGTGATGCAATGATGAGAGACTAGTATGCTATTTATAATAAAACCTAACATACTAACTAATGGGCTTTTTCCACAAGGCCCATTATACAAGCTAACTTAACAAACAAGCTAACTTAACAAATTAGGGTTTAAACATTAAAACCTAATTCGACAAGCATCCTTCGACAAATACATGTTAGAACCTTCTTCGACTACAGCAAGTACTTCGACCAACTAGAGTTCGATCCAAAATCCCACAAATCTCCACCTTGGACCTAACTCTACAGCATCAAGAGACACTAACTAGCTTTCTTCATGCAGCTTTATCAACTGCATACAGTGGAAAAACTTGCAACTTGGCAATGTTTTGGTGATCATATCAGCAGCATTGTGATCTGTCGAGACCTTCAGCACTTGGACTTCTCCACGCTCGATTACCCCTCTGACGAAATGCAGCCTCACATCTATGTGCTTGGTTCGCTCATGATAGGCTGAGTTCTTCGACAGGTGTATTGCACTTTGACTATCACATTTAACAGTGATACCTTGACCTTGAAGTTTCAGCTCCTTCGCAAAACCTTCAAGCCACAATGCTTCTTTCACAGCTTCAGTTAAGGCAATATATTCTGCTTCAGTAGTTGATAAGGCAACAACCTTCTGAAGAGTTTCTTTCCAACTAATTGCTGTACCAAACATAGTGAAAACATATCCAGAAATAGATTTCCTGGAATCCATACATCCTGCATAATCAGAGTCAACATAGCCTTCGACTGCTGCTTTACTATCTTCACCCAAGGCTCCACCATAAATTAAGACTCTGTTCAGAGACCCATTTATGTACCTTAGAATCCACTTTAACGCTTGCCAGTGAGCCTTTCCAGGATTCGCCATGTACCTGCTTACAAGACTTACTGCATATGCTATGTCGGGTCTAGTACAGACCATAGCATACATCAAAGAACCAACTATATTAGCATATGGGATGCTGTTCATATAGGTTCTTTCGACATCAGTATTGGGACATTGATCAATGCTCAGCTTGAATTGAGGGTTTGTTGGAGTCACAACAGGCTTTGAATTCGACATACCAAACTTGTCAAGAATCTTTCGTAGGTATGCCTCTTGAGATAAGCATAATTTCGACTGCTTTCTATCTCTTCGAATGTCAATTCCAAGAATTCTAGATGCAGCTCCCAGATCCTTCATGTCGAACTCCTTATTGAGTTCAGCCTTCACCCTCATTACATCTTCGACATTGTTGCTTGCTATCAGAATATCATCAACATAGAGCAACAAAATAACAAATGAATTTTCAGGTCGAAATCTGGAGTAAACACAATGGTCGAACTGACTTCTAATGAAACCTATGTGTTCCATGAACTTGTCGAATCTCTTATTCCACTGTCGAGGAGATTGTTTAAGTCCATATAAAGATTTCTTCAGTTTGCACACATAGTCTTCTTTCCCCTTTTCGACATACCCTTCAGGTTGCCTCATCAGGATTGTTTCGTCTAAGTCACCATACAAGAACGCAGTCTTCACATCCATTTGTTCCAGTTCAAGGTCGAACTGAGCCACCATGGCAAGCAACATTCGAATGGATCTGTGCTTCACAACAGGGGAAAATACATCATTGAAGTCGACACCTTCTTTCTGAGTGAAACCCCTTGCGACTAATCTTGCCTTGTACCTCTTCGACATTACTCCTTCAATTCCTTCCTTAACTTTGAAAATCCACTTACAGCTGACTAACCTTGCCCCAACAGGTTTCTTGATTAGTTCCCAAGTGTGATTATCATGGAGAGATTTCATCTCATCATGCATGGCCTTTAGCCATTCAGTCTTCATTCGACTCCTTATAACTTCCTTATAATCTCTAGGTTCTTCATCTAGAACTTCACTTGCAGAGATTAAGGCATAAGCTACAAGATCTGCATATCCAAGTCTCTGAGGTGGTTTTATGACTCTTCTTTGCCTATCTCTCGACAATAGGTAGTCATCAACAGTTTCCTCAACATCATCAGAATCTTCTGTTTCTTCTTCGACTTCATCTGGGATACGCATTTCAGCATCAACATGCTCCACCTCAACAGGAATCTCTACCTGTTCCAGCTCTTCGTCAACATCATCAGTTTTCTTGAAAGCCATTTCAGTTTCATTGAAAACTACATCTCGACTGGTGATACACCTCTTGTGACCTGGCTCTAGGAACCATAGCCTATAAGCTTTTACTCCTTCAGGGTATCCCATAAACATGCATTTCAGAGCTCTAGATTCGACCTTGTCTTGCCTAATGTGAGCATAGGCTACACAGCCAAATACTCTTAGTTTGTCGAGATCTGGTGGATGTCCCGACCAAACTTCTTCAGGTGTCTTCATATCTAACGCTGTCGAAGGACATCTATTTATCAGATATGCTGCTGTCGAAACAGCCTCAGCCCAAAACACCTTCTTTAATCCCGCACTCGTCAACATGCATCTAACTCTCTCCAAAATAGTTCGATTAAACCTTTCAGCCAAACCATTTTGTTGAGGAGTACCTGCGGTAGTTCTGTGCCTTGCAATACCAGAGGCAACACAAAAACTGTCGAACGCCTCATTGCAAAACTCAAGGCCATTGTCGGTTCTCAACCTCTTTACCTTTCTGCCAGTTTGATTTTCGACAAGAGTCTTCCAACTTTTGAAATTCTTAAAAGTTTCATCCTTAGTCTTCTGGATGAATACCCATAACTTTCTGGAATAGTCATCTACTATGGATAGAAAATACTTTGCTCCTGAATGTGATGGACACCTTGCAGGCCCCCAAAGATCAGCATGGATGTAATCAAGGGATCCATGTGTTCTTTGTTTGCCTTTGTTGAACTTCATTCTACAGGACTTTCCAAGTACACAGGGTTCACAAAACTTCAGCTTTTCGA